CTCCTTAAGACATTGGACGGTTTTGCAAATATTATTATATTATTATCCTGTTAATTAACAATTTTCACATACACTACACACCACTTAATTCACTTTTAATAATTGTTCAAACAATTTTGAAATATTTGATGGTGGGGATAGGGATAGTGTCGATTGTTACTAAAGTCGTATTCAAGCAGCTAGAATTTAAAAAGTATTAATTATTTGTAGCATTACATTTAGCAATATGTACTGCTGTATGTTTACAATATGGTAATAACATTCAAAAATTGTAAACATGGATGTTATTTTCAATATTTACTTTAATTTGAAAAATGTACCTGTTACTCTTGTTTCCAGTCACTACCATGTTGCAACTTAAATTTTCAAACAATTTTTATTTATACTGATTCAGAACTTATCAGTATCAAATTATAAGTCGTTGTGATGCAAAAAAATATTTACAAAAACCTTATTTACGGTTTTTATTTCAAAATTCGTGATTTTATTATATTTATATAGTGTGTACACAACTTTTATTTATAAACTTAAAAACAATAATTCCACGGTTACATGAGAGAGTGCGCTACAGTGTCGAAGTCGGACAATTTTTCCGCGTTTATGTCGGTACCAAAATTATTATCTTTTATCAGTAGTTAATTAATTAAACTTATAATATTTAAGTGTAATGCTAATTTTAGCTCAATTTCGTATCGTTCGTATTGCTGACCTGGTACTTTTTCCTTAATCAAGTAAGTTAATTCTTTTTTTGAAGTATGATAACATTTATAGGTTATAATGGCGTTCAACATGCATATAATGTAAACATAATGTACGATACGTACAATGCAGGCAGGTTTTAATTATAATTGGACGCAGATCCAAAAGTTCTTAATTATTTAATTTTTGAAATGAATGTTTCTTTTAACGAAATCTATTGTTAAGAAACAAGCTCTCTTGAAAATTGGGAGGGGGGGCGAATATGTGTATATACAGGGTGATTTATTAAAGATGAATGCTTTTTTGTAAAATTGACTTCTTATGTTCACTTAATCTACACACTAAAGCTCCACCAGTTTGGCCGATGTAGATTGCCTCATTTACAATATTTTACAAAAAGAGAAAATAGCCAAAGTGTTTTTCTTACTTTTAATAAAACCATTTTCAAATATATAAATCAAATAGTACTTAACGAGGGATTAGATGAAAGTAATTTTATTATAAATGTTTATTTGTAAATAATACGTAGTTGATATAAATCTCCATGAAATTTGTCTATAATAACATAAAAAAGAACAACTTATATTAACCAGCTACTATAATTAGGTTTACAAAAAAAAAGTTGTTGGAAGACNTGAAAAAAAAAAAATTACTCCAAAAATCTATAAATTAATTTACTGTGTAGGTGTATGTTTTTAAATCAAATTGTCTGATCATGAGTATTAACGAAAACGACTCAGTCTGTCAAATAGCCGAAGAAATTTAATAAAAGTATTACTTAATCATTGTTAAGGGGATTTTTTTTAATAATTGTATGGACCATACGTCGAGCCTGTTGTGTAGTAAGGAGCAGGATAAGCCTGTGGAGGGGGTACAGCGTATCCTGCATACGCGTACTGCTGCTTTTGGGGGTAAACTGAAAAAATAAAAAAATATTTTAATCATGTATTATTAAAAGTGTCTTATAACAAAATAAAAATAAATGAAGATCGTGTATGAACTTAGGGTTTTGTAGTCATTAGGTATTAAAAAATAAACACAATACCTATACATTGTAAGTGGGCATTTTATAAATTGCAAATATTTTCTGAAAAAGGACTAAAGTAGAAAGAGCAAAGTCAGTAGAATAAAAAATACATAGGCAATTAAATAGTAATTAAATGCACTAATGAGATATTAAATGCTTTGGTTACTAATTACTCTCCTAACGTAAGATTAAGTTAGCAGGGTATGAGCGAAAAAACTATTTAAATAATGAATTCTTATACTTAGATTTTTTGGTCATAGTAATTAAATGCTCATTAAATGTTATCCAAACAGACGAGTTGCGAATTAAATGTTCTAATTTGTTTTAAGCAAATATTAAATTAGCACAGCATAAGCAAAAAAAATATTTAAACAATGAGTACTTACAGTTTTTTTTGTTATAGTGATTAAGTGCTTATTAAATGCTACCCAAACAGACCAGTTGCTAATTAAATGGTCTAATTTTTTTCAAGCAAATAAAAGACTTCATAACATAACAATAGGTACGTTAGCATGCAAGGATCAAAAACAGGTTTAGGCAAGGAAATTCACTGTTTCAGTTATGAACTCTTTAAAGGCTAATTAAATGCCAAAATGACTAATTAAATACTTCGGGCAGTTTATTGAAAAATCTTTGTTCTCCTAGCTTAATATTTAGTTAGCAGAACATGAGCAAAAAAGTTATTCAGACAATGGATACTTACAGCTTTTTTGGTTATAGTGATTAAATGCTCATTAAATGCTATCCAAACACACAAGTTGCTAATTAAATGGTCTAATTTTTTTCAAGCAAATAAAAGACTTCATAACATAACAATAGGTACGTTAGCATGCAAGGATCAAAAACAGGTTTAGGCAAGGAAATTCACTGTTTCAGTTATGAACTCTTTAAAGGCTAATTAAATGCCAAAATGACTAATTAAATACTTCGGGCAGTTTATTGAAAAATCTTTGTTCTCCTAGCTTAATATTTAGTTAGCAGAACATGAGCAAAAAAGTTATTCAGACAATGGATACTTACAGCTTTTTTGGTTATAGTGATTAAATGCTCATTAAATGCTATCCAAACACACAAGTTGCTAATTAAATGGTCTAATTTTTTTCAAGCAAATAAAAGACTTCAAAACTTCGACAATTGGTACGTTAGCATGCAAGGATCAAAAATAGGTTTAAGTAAGTAAAATTACTGTTCAGTCATTTACTGTTTAATGGCTAATTAAGTGCCCCAATTATAAATTAAATGCTCCGGGAATTTATTTAAACAAAAAATTCTGAATAATACTTATATAGCTTGCAGAAATTTTATGGAAATAACAAATTCAAGATCTAATTAGGTGTAATATGAATCGAGTCTGTTGTTAACTTAACTTGTCGAGTGTTAAATTAACACAATTGCAATTCATTTACGCTTAAATGAAGAATAATTAACTCCTTACATTCAGCATGTACAAATATAATGATTCTTCATTTATTTTTATTGTAAGGATAGTTTTTGGAAGTTAATTAGATAGGTACAAAGGGTACATAGGGCTAAAAAATTATGACATCCTTGTAGTTTAGTTTAAAACCTGCAGTAAAGGGTAAATTGTTACGGTTAAGGCTTAATATGTATTATTGCAAGACGACCTTTAACGAACTGTTTTTCCTCTGCAACCAATCCCAGCAAAATGTTTCCCAAAATTCCGCATGTATAATAATATAATACGGGGTTCAACCTTCAATTTTACGTGACACGACCTTCATTATTTTACAGTGGTACTAAAATTATAAAATATAGCGGTACTTTGTTAGGCAGTTACTAAAGTGATTGGTATTTATTGCTATGCGTGTGAAAAACTGCTATTATTATACCATTTCTGGAGAAAGTAAAAGTAAAAGAAAAAAACGAGACTTAGCTTCTCCTTAAGACAGTGGCGGCGCATAAATGTTAGCGGATGACGAAAATATCGTGGATAGAGACGGTTATAGATGAGGAGGTAGTAGAAAGAGTAGGAGAACAGAGGGCGGTATGGAATTAAGTAAGGAGAAGGGGTTATAGAATAATAGACATAGAGGGTTGGTTAGAGACATATTAGAGGCAGAAACAGGAGTAAAGAGGGGCAGAATATAGGGAAGAATTTATGCTTTTGCCTGATTTGTGTTAAAAATGCCATTAAAAATGTTCTTTTTAAACAGCTCTACCTTTCTGAGGATACTGAATATGACAATGGTCGAAACGCTGTGTGAAAACAGTCTCGTTAATTTTTGTTACTTCTTTCCCGTTTCCCATTATAGGTAGGTACTATGTACTCTAAGGGGGGGGGGGGGCGAATTCTAAATCCAAAAAAAAAGAAGCGTGCGCTATTCTGAAGCTACGCTAGGTGCAACATCAGCAGGGGTGGGGGCGATGTCGATGTTAGGTTAGGTTACCGGGCATCAAGTATTGCATGTTGATGGCCTCCTCCCGTTCCCGTTCGCCTCTCAGACAGACGGCGGCTCCGGAGAACAGAACAGCCCCTAGCAACGACCATCCCACCCCGACCCACGCGAGCGCGTAGCTCCAGTCGTAGAATGTCCTTGCGTTTTCGCGTAGCACCTATAAAAAAGATAGAAATGCGAATTTTCGAATGAAAACTTCCAACGAACCTGGCATTATGTATTGCACGTTGTTCAGTTGTTCACGTTCTTTCTCGCTGCCTAGGCAGCAGGCGCCGAACACGAACAAAAACGACGAACACAGCGAAAACATCACACCCAGCCATGCAAGCACGAAACTCCAGTCGTAAGATGTCGTTGTGTATTCTTGCAGGATCTGCGCATGCGTATTAAACATTTCAATAAAACAAATCAGAATATCAATACTGCTAGACAATTAAGAAAGTATTGCTGTTTTCGGTATACGTCTAGGTGTTATAATCTCAAGCAAAGAGGTTAAGGGTGTTTTAATGATTTAAACTGCGGTTATACAATATTCCTGTTCACGATACCTATTGCGATCTGTCAGATGGGCGGAGCTTAAAAAACATGGCTGAAACAAGTACGTGAAATAGTTCACGCCTTGAACTACCAGATGTCGCATCTTCATCTGACTGATCCCAATAGCTAAACGTTAACTATCCGAATACCAAATGTAATATTTGACCATCTCACTTAATGTTTAGCCGTATTTTACAGATAGGCTTTGACATCAATATCGTGTTGGTTCTGCATATCCGTTACTTTCTTTTGTGCCAACATTGACAGTCAGTAATCTTTGATGTTTAAGGAATTTTAAGAAATTATATTTAATATTATATTTCGCATTAAATTTAAAACAAAAAAGATTTTACTTACGGAATTCCATTGTTGATAATATTCTTCTCCTACCACCTTCTCTTTTTCATAAAATTCAACTGCATGCCATAGACCCATGGCCCCCGCACTCAGCAAACCTAAAATTCGTTATTATACTTTAAAATTAACAACAGTAGAACGTAGCTGCTCAATTCAAATTACATATATTTTTTTTTTGTAAAGGTGCCCTTATTTCAAATTTACACGATGCACTTGCTAAATACACTTGGTGTGTTCGATTATTTTTTTGTCTATTTGGTATATTAGTTGTTTAATTTTCAAAAATTCAAAATTAATTTTATTGTATCAATAATTTACTTAAGAAGGGAGTGACTCATGGATGCACACTGTTATCGCTACTTTTTAATCTATAAATTGAAAACGCAATCAATATCATTAAAGACAGTGCAACTGTAGGGATAAATATAGAGGATCAAAAGATTAGTATGCTTAGATTTGCAGATGATATAGCAGTATTAGCATCTAGCAAGGAGGACCTAGAGATAGCTTTAAATAAAATGGAAGCGGTATTGACAAAACAGTACTGTATGAAAATAAATAAAAGTAAAACAGAAATATTGGTATGCAAGGGAAGAAACAGTAGGGAAAGAGCGAATATAAAGATAGGAGACGAAAGATTAGAAGAGGTGACTGATTTTAGGTATCTAGGAAGTCAGATAAGTGAGAACGGAAGGAGTAGTAGGGATATAAATCAGAGGATAGAAGCATTCGAAATGTGGTGTTACAGGCGAATGATGAGGATACCGTGGATAGAGAAGGTTAGAAATGAAGAGGTATTAGAAAGAGTAGGAGAACAGAGGACTCTATGGAAGTCAATAAAAAATAGGCGAGATAGGTTAGTAGGACACCTTCTCAGGCATGAAGGTCTAGCCAGATACATATTAGAAGCACAAACGGGAGTTAGGAGGGGTAGAGGTAGAGCTAGATTAGATTACTGTTCGCAAATAGTCAAGGATAAGGGTTGTTTTAGCATTAGGGAAATGCGAAGATTAGCTCAAGATAGGAACGAGTGGAGGTGCGTGTCCAAACAGTCTAAGGACTGAGGACCTTATGACAATGAATAATATACTTACATGCAAGTAACATCAGGATCGCTGTTGCCGTAATATTACTAGGTGACCTTCGCCAACATCCTGTCACCCCGGTGAAAAATGCTGCAAGGACTGTTAAAAATGACAGGATGAAAAGAGCAATAGTAGATCGACCCATATCTGAAAACGAATAAAAAATACAGTGTCTAACTAACTAAGTTTTCAACGCTGATTTTCATAATTTTAGTACCTAGCACTTACAATCTTAATGGATAATTTTTGGGTTCTATGCGGAAAAGGTCAAAAGGACCCTTTAGTAAAATTCCTGTGTATTCCTGTTCGATTATCCTAACTGAAAATATTTTTATTTTGGCTAAGAAACGATACCACCTTCAAAAAATTTATTTGAAGGCGCCCCTTGTACTTGACATTTTTTCTTCGTAATATTTTCGGTATTTATTAATTGAAATATTTTAAATCCCATAGCGTCTATCCAATGCAATATCGATTATTATTTATTTATTCCTATTGGGACCTAAATACATAATAGTATATCGCACATAATTACCATTATTATTATTACTATTATTATTTAAATACAATACTGGTCGTAGAAGAGATTGATATAATTGTTAATGACGCCGATAAATTCTAAGTATTTGTTACAGTGTGAAATGCACAACTAATAATGCAGATAATAATAACGGACCTAATTTTCCATTTTTATCCCTACTTAAAATACTAGACTTAAGGCTTTCCATGTACGTATTATTATATGTATGATACTAACATTATTATTGTTATTATTATTAAATAGACGTAATAAATATACTAATTAAATCGGAAAATCAGTTTGTCTTTGATATACTGACTCAAACTCTGTGCCACTAATCATTTTCAAAATATTTTTTACAACTACGTTAAGAACCATGTTGAAAATGAAATGTTTTGGAGTTGTAAACAAAATGGCTAATAATGACGATTACATTTTATTTTTGGCTACACTTATGTACTTATACTTATGAAACCAACTATTGTAGACATTTAGACCCGCTCACTTTTTTCCAATTGTTTTAACCACTTCGAAAACGTCAAAATTTGTGATTTTTAGTTAAAAATTCTAACATCTACTAGGGTATCTAAAGTAGATCTATGACTTAACTCGATCTTTTAATTATACGTTTTAATAGCGTGCTAATTCCAGAACAGAAAATTATGACAGGAGTTTGTTGTAAGGCAAAGCAAACCAAAAATGGTTCTTTTTAGCGTTATAATTTGCAAATATCTTTTAAATCAATTAATAATAAACTTGGATGAAATTTTATAAAACTCTAGTTGTTGATAATTTAAACCGATCGCCTTTAGGTTGGTATTTCATGTATAGTTAGGACGATCGAAATTCGCAAAGTCCACAATTAATTATCTGTCAGAATAGACGTATTTTCTTTCATGTTTCCACTTGGGACTGTAGTCTTTTGCGACATTTTGAACACGCCCTTGTTATGTTAGGAAATGCTTCATGAGTTTATACGGACAAAGTGAAAAGAGATAACCGAATAATAGTAAGCGGTGCAGCGGTTAGAGATTGCTTAGGTACGCAAAAGATTAGGATCGTCTTTATAACTGCCTGGTTGGAATTTGAAATTATATTGTAATGTTCGTGGGTTTAACAAAAAGACTCACAACGACAAAAACTATTTATTTACGCTAATTATTATTGAACTTAAAAACACTAGCAAATTATTACTAAACTTCGGTAATTATTCTATTTATTTACACTACTGTTACTATTCACTGTTCTATTTATTTCACTTCTATCACTGTAAATTTATCTGTTGATTCACTTCTACAACGGTCAATTTATTTCTACTCTATTCCGGCGTACGTCTCTTCCTTTTTATACTCCCTTGCCTCCTTTCGTGAACATTCTCCAGCCGTCCAGAGAAGTCTCGTTTTCTTTGAACGGTTTAATTGCTTTCCCGGAACGCAGGTACGACTCATACGTTTACAGATACGGCGCACATGAAGAAAAGCGCCCGCGGCTAGTCGGTGAATCGATAAGCCGCTCACACACACGTATGCCCGATCACACATAATCACGCTCGCGGTCGCTACAATATCTTCAAACAAACGTCTTTGCTTTCCTAAATTCCTGAGAACGTTGAACTTACTTTAAAGTCCCATGCTCAAATTTTGCCTGTGTGCATCTCTTTCTATTACACATTAACTGGTTTAAATTCCCTTTTATTTATTAGTGTCCGCTGCAATTACTATCTGACATCTCTTTTCTATGTTTACGAGTAAAAGTGGGTGTTCTGTCAGCAACCGTTGTAGTCTTATTAGTAAGTTAAAAGACGAAAGTAATTTTATTGCAGACTATGCTAATTTTGAAAGTCCTAACTATATCTTGTGCAATTTTTCTAGAATCTAGTAACCTAACGTACGTAATTTCTGATAGCTACTTACGCAGTCTTGTCCAAGCATCATCAGTAAAGTCTTTCGTTTCGTTATTTTCATCAGGAATGAAGTAGTTTATATTTGTGCAGTGAGTTTCTACAGGGCTCAGGTACGTTTTCACTAAAAAGGAAAACCAAATTTAAAAAGAAATAATATTTCCTATGGTTCGAATGATTTTGTTACACCAACATTAGCGTATTTATCACAAAAATAATTTTGCTTTGCATTATTAATTTCTAATAATGGTATATTGATGTGATATGTATGTACGTACCAGTTGGAGGCCTTTCCTTCGGGAAACATATCCGGAAAAGACCTTTTGTTCTCGTATAATAATAATACTTAGTGTTTACGCTGTCTACCAATGCTTCGTTCTGAACGTTGGGGTTGCTACTTAAGTAATCCTGAAAATGAAAGGAAAAGAGATTTGTAAAATATAAAAAAAAGTGAAATACAATTTCTGGTTGAAATCAAACATCATATAAGTGTTATTTGTATCAAATTCAAAAAATTGAAGGGCTGACTCCTGAGATATTTTTACGAAAAAAGTTCTATTATACCAGACATGTACCAGATGGTGGTTTTGCTGGGTATTGGATAACTGTGTACCCGGCATTAGCTCATCATCATAAGGTCGTCAGTCTTAAGACTGGTTGGACACGCGCGTTCACTCTTTCCTATCCTGACCTAATCTTCACATTTCTCTAAAACTAGAACAACCAATATCCTTAACTATTTGCGAACAGTAATCTAATCTAGGTCTACCTCTACACCTCCTAACTTCCGTTTCTACTTCCAGTATGTCTCTGACTAGGCCTTCATGCCTGAGAAGGTGTCCTACTAACCTATCTCGCCTATTTCTTATTGACTTCTATAGAGTCCTCTGTTCTCTTACTCTTTCTAATACCTCTTCATTTCTAACCTTCTCTATCTACGGTATCCTCATCATTCGTCTGTAACACCACATTTTGAACGCTTCTAATCTTTTATTTTCCGCCGCGCCCACTGTTCATGTTTCGCACCCGTACAGGGCTGTGCTCCAAACATATACCTTTAACAACCTTTTTCGAATTTCTAAATTAACCGTTCGCGAGCATAGAAGTGACTTCTTTTTATTGAAGGCGACTCGACCCTGCGTTATCCTCTGGTTTATATCCCTACTACTCCTTCCGTCCTGACTTATCTGACTTCCTAGGTACCTAAAATCGGCCACTTCTTCCAATTTTTTGTCTCCTACCTTTCGCTCTCTCCTTACTTAAATTTTAGTTATTGGTTAACAGATTTTCAACGAGAAGGTTGAATTGAAACCATTGAAACGAGCCTATAATATCTATAAGTACTAATCAATTATCATTAATGAAAACCTTATATACCAACAGGCGGCAGAAATTGTAACAGTTCGGCCATAATGATGTATTCTTGTTCATAAGACAAAGTAAGCACAAGAACTATACCGAAATAATAAATAATTTAGTATAGTATCATTAAATAATGTTAAGATTAAACAAATTTTCATCAGGCAGGTTTTTTGTCATACTTATTAGATTACTGGTGGTGTTGGTTTTTCTTTTTTCTTTAGTAGAATTACCTGGCATTGCCAGGTCCCCGGCGTCATTATCCTGATCCTAAAACAAGTACGGGATCCAAACCGGGTTCTCGGCTTATCTCTCCCTTAAACATTTTCCGAAAAAGCTTCCTAATAAGCGAGTTACGTGGTTGTGAACTTTTAAATTTTTTGTCGGCATCTATTGTAAATATACCTGTAAATGTGTGCTATAAATATTTTATAGATACTCGTGCTAGATATCGTTTGCATTATTTGTTTTTTTGACCTTGCTGTTTCTGTATCTAATTAGTGGAAAGTCAGTATTCCACATTCGTTTCTCTTGTCTACTTATTAAGCAGGTTGTTTCTTTAAGTACAAAATAATGCTTAAGAATCGAAAGTAACATTTGCTTTGTACAACGTCCATTTTAAAGAATGTGTGACGTTTAAGAAATGCAGATTTTCCACTTAAAATGCGATTATAATGTCGTTAATACCAAAGCGATAGTGCAAGAAGCGCAAGGCTGGGTGAAATCCAATCTACATCATGTAAAATTTATAATTGTATCACATTTTGGATTATGGTTAATCAATGAATTTTGCAAAATATTAATGAATTTACAATTTGTAGCTAACTTCTACAGATGGTGTTCATCATTCTGTCTGTAGTTATTCGGTAAACCTTTTTAAAGTATGTAAATAGATAGGTTATCTTCGTTCTGGACTAAAATCTCATGTATTTTCTTATGATGCTTCATTTTCGTCTCTTCTATCCACTTTTACCCCCTCCACGCCCACTCTGACGTCACTGCCACCAGTCATCTTTGACAGCTGTCATCGTCAGCCATCTTTTACAACCGTCATCGTCAGCCAAGGCTTCGCTCCGCTTCTTCTACCTTATCATTAGGAAGCAACAGATGATGGGGCCTCAGGGGCTTGAGCACCCGCACAGGGAGCGGGGCAAAGCTCTGGGCCACGATGACAGCTGTCAAAAATGGCCGATGTCCGTAACGTCAGAGTAGGCGTTTCATAAGAAAATACAAGAAATTTTGGTCTAGAACGAAGGTGGCCTATCTATATATGTAAATTACTCGTTGTTTTGTCGTAACCTAACTATCTACGGCGTGCTGATGAGACCGAAATGACTGTTAAAGACTTTTGAAAATAAATATTTCATCGGTTCTCTCACATTTTAACTTTAATTTGTAATATATCAATAACTTTTTGCTAATTATTAAAACGTTTTAATGGTGTATCTATCCATAATCAGCATGTGGATTTATTAATAGTGAGTAGAACAAAAGACAAAGGGATTGTTGCGAACGTTAGATCCCTTTCTCTTACAAACCGTTTCATTTTATTGTCTTCTTTTTTCCAGCCAACTCGATAAAATCGCCAATTTGATAGTTTTATGTAACAAAACGTTGTACTATCTAATATTGCAACATAGCAATTGAATAGTGGCTTCATTTAAATACTCGAACTCGTATTTCTACTGACGATTAAACAAAAGAAAGAAAGTTAGTAGTTGATGGTTAGCACAAGGCGGTCGGTCAAACGGAATTTTATAACGCTTGGCCTGTAGCTGATGCGTTACTATATAATTAATTTGTTTAGCAATTTTTTTTCGGAGTTGCCTAATAACGTTGCTTATTTTTAATTAATAAAAACGCAAACGTTTTATTTTAGAATTACATTTATTGTTTCCAAAATTGTACGTAATAACTAGTAAGTCACGAAAACAAAGTTAAAATTAATAACATAAGAAACGGTACTTTTCTCTCAACAAGGTACGATCCTTGGACCTATTTTATTTAGTATGTATATAGGTGCTTATATTAATGATTTACTAATAATAATCATCATCATAAGGTCGTCAGTCCTAAGACTGGTTGGACTCGCACTTCCACTCCTTCCTATCCCGAGCTAATCTTCGCATTTCCCTAAAACTAGAACAACCCACGTCCTTAAGTATTTGCGAACAGTAATCTAATCTTGGTCTACCTCTACCCCTCCTAACTCCTGTTGCTGCCTCTAATATGTCTCTGAATTGCTCTTTTTTATGTCATAGCAAGAAATATTTGTCGTTATCGTGTGATCTGAGGTTGTCGTACAAACTCCATTGATGTATAGTATGCAGAGAATTCTTCTCTGTAAATTTGCAAAGAACTAACCAGCAAGAAACAGAAAACAATAATTTTGCGTAAAAAACGGAGGACTTTTTCTTTAATTATTCACAAGTATTCAAATACATATTCAAAGTGCAAGGAACCTTTAAACAATAAGAATTGACGAACAAAAATTAAATTTTAGTTTCATCATTATCATAAGGTCATCAGTCCTAAGACTGGTTGGACACGCACCTCCACTCTTTCCGATCCTTAGCTAATCCGCATTTTCCTAAAACTAGAACCCACATCCTTAACTATTTGCGAATAGTAATCTAATCTCGGTCTACATCTACCCTCTACAACTCCTGTTTCTGCCTCTAATATGTCTCTGACCAGACCTTCATGACTAAAAAGGTGTCCTACCAACCTATGTCGCCTATTTCTTATTGACTTCCATAGAGTCCTCTGTTCTCCTATTCTTTCTAATACCTCGTCATTTCATTTCTAACCTTCTCTATCCACGGTATCCTCATCATTCGCCTGTAACACCACGTTTCGAACGCTTTTAACCTTTTCTTTTTCGCCACGCTCACTGTCTATGTTTCGCACCCGTACAACGCCGTGCTTCAAACTTCTTTTTATTAAAAGCGACACTACCCTGCGCTATCCTCTGCTTTATATCCCTACTACTCCTTCAGTTCTGACTTATCTGACTTCCTAGATACCTAAAATCGGCCACTTCTAATTTTTCGTCTCTTATCTTTATATTCGCTCTTTCCCTACTATTTCTTTCCTTGCATACCAGTATTTTAGTTTTACTTTTATTTATTTTCATACAGTACTATTTTATTAGTACCACAACTATTTTATTTAAAGCTAAATCTAACTCCTCCTTTAGTGCTGTAAATAACAATAATAATAATAATGAATAATTATTGCTAATTATTGTGCGACCTGAACGCTAACATTTAATTAAATCAATAAATGAATTTCGCCTGTTCTTTTAATTTTTATGGGACCGTTGGCATTCCAACTGGTTCATCATTAATGGTCGACAGCAGAGGTAAGAGATACCGCTAGAAATATGCGCACGTGTTTGGATATCTATATCTACTCGTATGTATGGAGCAGGAACAAAATGTGAATTTCAAAGTGACCATACGACTAAACAATGTATTGCTGGTGTGGTATAATAATAATGATAATTGTATCAGTTATACCACGGACACAACCTTGTCTCAATTATGTTAAACGTTCTACTAATAATTGTGCTGATGGCGGTTAATTCGTCGTATTCAACAGCTTTTACCGTTTACATCGAAAGGAAATTTGGAAAGAAGAGTGGACATGCTGGTGTTAGAAAGTTTAGAATAATGTCTCGAAAATAGACGTCTTTCCCGACTATTGTATAAATTATTCAAATTTAACAATTGCCGAAGGACTCTAGTCTAGTAACATCTTACGGATTGACTAAGTTTTTATTTAATGATTACTGTAATAGAAATCGGCAGTTTAATTCTACGTACGAAAATTTTCATGTAAAAATAAAACAAAAATACTGGTATGCAGGGGAAGAAAAAGTAGAGAAACAGCGAATATAAAGATAGGATCCGAAAAATTAGAAGAAGTTACTGACTTTAGGTACCTAGGAAGTTAGATAAGTCAGGACGGAAGGAGTAGTAGGGATATAAAGCAGAGGAAAGCGCAGGGCCAAGTCGCCTTCAATAAAAAGAAGTCACTTCTATGCT